GTCCAGAGAAAATAATATGAGACCGTCAGTGAACCCCACTAGGGTGGCAGAGAATAAGAAGGGAGCCATTCGGGGTCAGTGTAGCTCCTTGGTTTACCTTCTCGCTAAAGTCCAAGTCTGCTCTCTACTTGGCCCCAGGCTCTTCTTGGTCCCAAAAGGCCCAGAACTTGGCTCCCCTTTAAGCCTGTATCTAAAAAGGCTGGGGGAAGTTGGAGAATCCTGCCAAATCTGAATTAAAAATGACAAAACAGCTGATTAGATCTGAGGTGACAAGAATGAGAAATAAAAGCCATTAGAGCCCATTTGCAGCGCGCCTGCAGCCCGTCGAATCTCAAGGCGTTCCCTTGAAAATTATTAACGGGCCGACAGCGTTTTCCGCACCCGGGATCTGATACATGAAGTAACACCCGGTCCGCACGCTGCACGGGGATGTGGAGGGACCTGCCCTCATTTATTTCTCTTCACAGATTTGACGAGACACCCTAATCAAGCTGTCAGCGTGCACGCCACGGGAAGCAGGCTGCAGATGTCCGGAGGACAGTTTTCCTCTGTGGCAGAGGTCAGTCAGCAAGCTGTGGATTGAGGCCCAGCCTGGCCTGTCACTCAAGCTTTGGACAGCCAATGAGCTCTAAGGAGTGCTTTTATACTTTAAAAGAATCTAGAAAGACTATTTTTTACTCTTTGGCACATGGAGATGTTTGAAACTTTCGCATCAGTAGACCATAATTTGAGTTTTATTATATTATTATATTTATATTAAAATACAATCAGGCCCACTTGTTTACATATTATCTACCACCTTTTTTTGCATCTCGGTGGGCTCAGAAGGCCTAAGTTATTTGCTATTTTGATCTTTATAGAGAAACTTTAATGGCCTAGCCAAACCATTAAAACTAACACTTCTTACGCGAAAAGAAAAGTAACTGGAAATCGGGGAATTCCTGAAGACATTTTCTAGACAAAACTGTAGCCTCAGCTGAGACCCAAAGCCTGGAAAACGGGTTCTATCAGTCACAGGCACAAGTTGCATAACTTCGAGAGCAGTGAGGAAGCTGCTGGTGTTGCAAGTCACTGCAGGCAAGTTCACCAGGTCTCGGCAGGCCCTTCGGCACTTCCAAAACGCAGTGTCAACATCTCAGGCTTTCAGAAGTTGGTACCGCTGTTAACTGGGCTTCCCTTCACTGTCATGGGTAAGAGATATGGATGGCAGAGAGATGACATAAATCCTAATTATTTTTTATCTGCCTCCGAGTCAAAGATATTTAATAAACAGAACTCTCTTTCTCCTCCTCCTCTTCTTCCTCCTCCTCCTCCCTCTCCTTTCTGCTTCCTCATCCTCTTCCTCCTCCTGGTCTTTTGAGACAGGGTTTCTCCGTGTAGCCCTGGCTGTCCTGGAACTCGCTCTGTAGATCAGGCTGGCCTCGAACTCACAGAGAATGAAAATGAAGTGGTGGGTGGGGTAATGTTAGTGAATGAGCCACCACCACCGACTCACAGGGCCAGCGGTGACATCATTCACTCCAAAGTCATGGTCAGAAGAGCTCGAAGGTTCCAGGAACCACTGGAATTAGGGCCCAACAGGACAGCTATTTAGACACACACAGGTAGTAAAGAGTGTGTAGCATGGGTCAGACAGAAAAGATTAGCTCACGTAGAGGAGGCTTGTAGGGCTCCATGAGCACACTCACTGGGCGAATTAATGGACAAGGCAAAAGTAGAATTGAGCAAAAGAGAGGGCTCAGGTTGTACTAGTTAGAACTGAGTTTGTACGCTAAGGAAAAAAAAAAAACACTTACATTGATGAATCATTTAATTCATTCATTATAGTAATAGCTTAGCCTTGTCTAACTGCAATAACAAAATACTCAAGATATTTATAAACAATGTACATTAGTTACTCTAACAACTGGGAAATACATAATCAAGGTGCTAACAGATTCAGGGATTGGGAGAGACTTGTTCCCCCCACACGGTGCTTCCTAACAGAGTCTTCATATTCTAAAGGAGCAGAAAGGGTGGAGGGGCAAACCCAGCCCTTGGGGACTTTTTGGAGCAAATTTATGTTCTTTCTGTCTATCAAGGTGGAGGCTACATGGCCTTCCCAACTCCCAAATTCCCTGATTCTTAATTATTAACTATCACATCGATGAGCTAGCTTCAACATATGAGTTCTGGGGACATTTTCAGTCTGTGTCATGTGAGCTGGTGACTGAGCAAGTCTCTTTATTTTCACTGTAATTACCCTTTTAACAAAAAGAGGGACCAGTGTGCCCTGGCTCAGCTGCTAAAGGGCCTTATAGTTAGATACACAAGACCTACATCATGGAAGGAGGGAGAGACAGACTCTCCCCTGCCCCCCCCATTGTCCTCTGACTTCCATGTGAGCACTGTGGGATGTATGAACTCACACACATATAGTATGGGCGAGTAAGTACAATAAAAATATTATTTCAATTGCATAAAGTAGGAAGGTGTGTCCTTTACTGTGTTTTCAAAGTGCTCCCTTGGCTCACCATACCTTTGGAGGGATAGAAGGAGGAAAATGGGATTTTAACCCTGTTCTTTTATTAGAAGAGGTAAAGTTTGGACAATTTCAGCCTTCGACTAATGTAACCACACAAATCTCCATTTTTAGGGCACTTTGCCGGTATAAATAACCTCTAGATTGGACTGTGGAATGCAGGTCAGTTGCCACCAAAAGAGGAGTCTTTTGTGAGCACTTCCTTTTCCCACAAGACTTTTCTTCCATTAAAGATTTACTTACTTAATTTTATGCACTTCAGTGTTTACCTGCCTGTGTGCAATGCACATGCAGTGCCCACGGAGGCCAGAAGAGGGCACCAGATCCCCAGGAACTGGGGTTCCAGGCCGTTGTGAGTCCCAGTGTGGGTCCTGGGAACCCAACTTCCTTCTCTACAAGAGCAGAAACTGCTTCTAATCAATTACTGAGCCATCTCCCCATCCCATCCCATAAATCCTTGAAGTGTATTTTTATTCACCTTTTCATTCGGTAGGTGGAATCGCTTAGCCTTGAGTTCTGAGGCTCTCTTATCTCAAAAGGAAGGATATCTCAGAAGGAAGAAAAAAAAAGGTGATTTATCTGGAGACCTTGTGATGGCACCGAGAAAGAAACTGTGCTGTTGAATGACTTCTAATGGGGCATTTTGTTTTCTGTGAGTTTCACTCTTTTCAGGAAGCCGATATTTCTGAGTTCCGAACAGGGCGCACATGTCAGTCTGGATAGGAACAGATACACTCGAGGTAACTGCTTTGCAAAAAAGTAAGATGTAGAGAAATCTGACAGGTAGAGCCTAAAAGCAGGGGTGGTGGCATAACACATAACACTCAACCTATGCGCGTTGTCACCTTCCCTGGGCCGTTCCCAGCAGCCGTCAATCTGTCACACTGGAGGTGCGGGTGTCCGCGGGCTTGTGTTTCGTACAAGTCCATCTATCCAGTCCCGGGGAAAACGCCGAAGACTGCTCCTGTCAGCCGTGTGCCTAGTGCTTTAGGGTGAATTCCCAGCAACTGAAACCTCTGCCCGTCCTCCCACCTGGTCATTCCGGTTAATTGAAGGCTGGCTTCGCTAGAGGTCAGCAGTAAACACGCCGCTCTGCTCATTGCCTTCCAAATATCTGGAATGAGTCTTCTGGGAAGCCCAGGGCCGCCTCCAGTGCAGATATCAATGGGGGTGAGAGCGGGGTGCGTCAGAACGGTCTCCTAGATGTGAATGCGGATCTCTGTCTAGAGGGCAGGTCCTCCGCCTCCACTGCGCAACCGTGAGTGTATGTGTTGTACAGGAAAATAGAAAACAAAACCCTCATTGGCAGCATGCTACTGCTATCATTAAAAACCTCTTTTAGCTAGGTCAAAGTTTATTTCTGTAGAAACTCTTGAGAGAAGGTGGCTGAGTTCTACAGGAAGTGCCAGCAGGTCTGAACTCGTCTTTCTCTGGGCCTCTATTCTGGCAGTCACTGCAAGCCTGGACCCTTTGACACTGGCGTGATGACAGATCCTCCCGCAAGACAGCAAACAAAAGCATTGTTCTTCTTGTCAAGCCCGCCATTGAAAGGTGATCCGCAGCTGAGCTGCAATCGCCCTCATTTGTGAGTGTTAGCAAGCGTGAGGCTGAACGCTTGTTAGCCCAGAAAGTGAAAGCTGAGAACAAGCTCCTCAAATAGGGCTACAGCACCGAGAAGCTGTCAGCAGCCCTGAGGGAAGGGAGGCCAGGTCTCCAGCTGGGGATTGGGGCCCCTCACTCCTCCCCCTCACCCACCTCACCCTGAACAGCTCATCTCCCAAGATCAGAGCCGCAGGTGTGTAGGGTGAGGAACAGGAGTCTGGCCTGGCTAGTTTAGTGGGCTTCCATTGCTACACACCGCCTCACGGTGGTGTGACAAGGGCTTTCAGAAGTTCTTCAAACATGGGCCCTTATGGAAGAAAGGGTCCCCCTGAAATCAAGACGTGACCCATTCAGCATCCTACATTTGGCACTATGTAATAGCTGACTTAACTTCATTTGTTGATCATGAAGCCATTTCCTTAAGACCAATTGAGGGCTTCGGTTGGGTCCAAGAACTGGCGGTATCTTATTTTCAGGGTCAGTTCTCCTATCTTTCCACAACTCAATTCTCTACAGTTAAAGGGAAAAAATACGTGGCTTGAACTGGATTCTGTATGTATAAAATCTGTATTTAGATGCTGATTCTCAGTACCTCATATTTGATTGCATTTAGAGACATGCTCATTATGACCAAGCGAAGCATCATGGGACAGCTAGAGAACGAGGACCCACCCACATCCAGAGGAAAGATCACCTGGATGCAAGGGGGAGAAGGCGACAGTTTCCAAGTCAAGGAAAGGGGCCTCAGGAGAAACTTTTTTTTTTTTTTTTTTTTCCGAGACAGGATTTCTCTGTGGTTTTGGAGCCTGTCCTGGAACTAGCTCTGTAGACCAGGCTGGTCTCGAACTCACAGAGATCCGCCTGCCTCTACCTCCCGAGTGCTGGGATTAAAGGCGTGCGCTACCATCGCCCGGCCCTCAGGAGAAACTTAATGACGTGTTAGACTTGGGCTTGCAGCCTCTAGCACTGTAAGGAAGTGAATCTCTGCTGTTTCCTCTTCCTTAGGGCTCAGCAGCTGATGATACACAGCACTGGGAGCTAAAGCACCTTCAGCAGGAGTGAGTTGCACCCCAGAACACAACTGTGAAAAACACTTAGAAGGGGAACTGGAGGCGGTTCTAGCATTTGCTACTCTTGGAGAGGACCCCAGTTTGGTTCCTAGCACCCACACAGTGGCCCACAACCATCTGTAACTCCAGTTCTTAGGGATCTGAGGCCTTCTTCTGACCTCTGTTGGCACCACGCATGCCCGTGGTGCACGTACACACTTGTAGGCAAAATGCTCATTCACATAAAAAAAAAATCAACTCACAGAAAAACAAGAGCAACAATGAAAACCACTTAGAAGGTGCTGGAAGCTAGAGACTCCCTGGGAAGCATGCACACACAGAGAGAAGTTGTAAACCATCCCAGGGTCCATGGTATGTCTTTGAGTTCTAAATGTCCCATGATCTTGGGAAGTTGGTTGATGATTCTGAAAGAGAAAGAGAATATTACATTCAGGTGATGCTTTCTGAGAACGCGGGCCATCCAAAGTCTCGGGAGTGAGAGCTAAAACGGGAGGTCTCCTCACCATTAGACAAGTCAAACCTGTGCTGTGGTATTCAAGGTATTCCCCTTCCTGCTCAGAGATGAAGAGTGAATCCCAATTTATTTCAAGGAAAATGTTAGATGATGAGCAAGGAACGAGGTGTCTTGGGTTCTAACCCTTTCAAAGTCACTTTTACGGAGAATCATAGACTCAGATTTTGGCTATTACATTCTAAGCAATCTCGACACGTCTACCTTATTCTTTCTGCCTCAAATGCTCACCCATACTTAGCACAGCCATGGCTATTTCAGGATCTAAGCACTCCTCTGTATCCTCTTCCTTTCCCCTTTCTCCCCCACTTCACCATTATGGAAATTCAGCAAGTTGAAAGATATTTTTTTTGGTCCCTTCTGGCTTAAACTTAACTTGATTCTCTGAATCCTAATGCTGTGGTACCTCTAAGTTCAGGATCGACTTCAGTTCTTCACTGTAGTTGGGCTTTTCTTTAGGTTGCCAGCTATCAAAAAATGACATGGAGACTTACATTAATTATGAAAGTTCGGCCTTAGCTTAGGCTTGTCTCTAACTAGCTCTTATGGCTTAAATCAACCCATTTCTATTCATTTACTTTCTGTTTAGTGGTTTTATTACCTCATCTCTGTCCTGTCCATCTGATGTGGGAGTGTCATATATCAATCTGTTGATTTCATTGGTTAAGTTATAATAAACCAACTGCTTGGCCTCAGCTTAGAACATAGATGGGAGGAGTAAACAGAATAGAATTCTGGGCGGAAGAGGAAGTGAGGTCAGACTCTGCTCTGCTCCCGGAGAGACTCGACAGCTCTGCTCTGGAGCAGAGACGCCATGCTTGCCATGCTACACTCTCCCAGGATGGACGTAGGCTAGAATCTTCCCGGTAAGCGCACCTTGGGGTGCTTACACACATCATTAGAAATGGGCTAGTCCAGGTGCGAGAATTAGCCTGTAAGGGCTAGAGTTCATGGGCCAAGCAGTTCTTTAAATGAATACAGTTTGTGTGTTGTTATTTCGGGCATGAGCTAGCCAAGCGGCCGGGGTGTTGGGGACGCAGCCCCGCCGCTCCTATTTCAACAGATGGCGCCCAGACGTGTGGCTAACTGAATCCACAAAAAGCCTGAGAAAGCTGGGGAAAGAATGGAATGAAGCATGTTTTCTTGGTAGGCACAAATTTCTTGGGTCTACTCTGCTTGCTAGAGGCAAGCAAGCGCTCTCATCTAAGAGAGGCTTCCTGACTCAGCTTCAGCTGCAAAACCCTGCAGCTCATTAAGAGGTCCTGCCACAAAACACTTAAATGGTGTTGACGAAAAGCTGAACGCATGCTTTTCGATTTTCAGCTGTAGCAGGAAAAAAGCTGTGCCGTTTAAAAATGCCGGCTTTCTGGGCTGTCCTGCCACGGCAAACTCTGACTCTTTTACGCAGGCGGTTCGTGTGGTTTGCAAGCACAGGCTGCTGAAGCTCGCTTGCTGGCAGGGACCTTGAAATGCCATAGAGTTGTGGCAGTAAACATGGCTACAACCGGTACCTCAGCCATGAGGCTGGAAAGCTAAGGAATGGACTGGATCTAGCTGGCAAAGCCACGGCTTTAATCCTACTCATATTGCTCAGTAATTTAAAGGCTCGTGTGGTCAGAAAAAGAGAGATATACAGTAAAGAGATTCAAAGATAAAGAAAATGTTTAAATGATTTACAGTGTGTTAAAAATATATGCAAGCTAAAAGTTAAAAGTTTTAAAAAAAAAGTAAGAAAAAGAGAAGTTGTGTGTGGTAGTACACGCCTTTAATCCCAACGCTTGGGAGGCAGAGGGAGATTGACCTCTGTGACTTCAAGGTGTGGTAGCACACGCCTTTAATCCCAGTGCCTAGAAGGCAGAGACAAACAGATCTCTGTGAGTTCAAGGTGTAGTAGCAAACACCTTTAATCCCAATGCCTGGGAGGCAGAGACAGGCGGATCTCTGAGAGTTCAAGGAGAGCCTGGTCTACAGAGTTATTCCAGGTCAAAGAGATACAGAGAATATAAAATAAAAGTAAAAATAAACGAAATAGAGGTTAAAATAAAGCGTACAAAGATGGAAAATACACAGAGAATCTTGATACTGTATACTATTATGCTCTCTTTGAATTGTTTGAATGCTGAGGAAGGAGCAACAGATGCTAAAAGATATTTGTTTATAAATGCTGCTGAACTAATCCATCGTAGAGATTTTGATGCCTTGACTTTGAAATTTGGATCTAAGGACATGATACTTTGGAAAGGAGTTTCTTATTTTGTTTTCACAGAGGATGAGACCCTGTTCATTTCTTCTATTCCGATATGGTATGATGGACCACGCCCTCCTGAACGGTTGCTGTGAATACCTTCAGAAAATTGCTTCGCTCAACTGCCAACTGAGATGAAACTAGCACACAGGTTATACCATGAAAGACCTAATTAACGACGCCCCCATTCAGCAGGAAGCAGTTTGGAGAGAAAAAACTGCGCCCATATTCCCAAATATTGTTTATAAATGTTCTTTTACATTTAAAGGGGGAGATGATATAGGTATGAATAATTTACATTGATATGGATTTTGCTTTAGTGATTTAAATTTAAGGTTAATTTTGTAATGTATATAGGTTGTTAATGAATAATCATTAATAATAGTTAAGTTTGTAGTCATGTTAGTTAAGATTTTCTAGATGTGCATAGATATATTTTAGATAGGCATTCTTCATATTTTTCAAAGATTATAGAATATGGCATTTTAAATGTTTTAATAACTTAGGACTTTTCATGACAATGAGACACTCTGCTCCTGGCAGCACCAATCTACTTCAAGAGGAAGATGGGCATCGAAGAGGATCCTTATGGAGTTTGATAGCCATTTGGGCAAGAAACTGCTCTTGCCTGGACTATTGCATAAACTGGACACAGAGAACCCGCAGAGAGAGGACTGCTGAACTTGCCTAAAGGTGAGATGATCTTTCGGGGTTCCTGATTCATGAAAGAGTCTGCAAGACATTCTTCAGGACAAGCAGATAGTGACTGCCTTTGAAATTTCCTGCTTTGTGGAAATGTCTGCTGGAAACTATGGGCCTGTAGGCCGAAGATGGATGCCCCAACGGTACAGAGGAACTTTGGGTGACTGTCCAGGCAGCGAGATGTCTCTGTCATTTCTAGAGCTTTGGATGTTAAGTTAAAGCCTTTTTTTTTTTGTTTAAACAGAAAAAGGGGAAGTGATGTGGGAGTGTCATATATCAATCTGTTGATTTCATTGGTTAAGTTATAATAAACCAACTGCTTGGCCTCAGCTTGGAACATAGATGGGAGGAGTAAACAGAATAGAATTCTGGGCGGAAGAGGAAGTGAGGTCAGACTCTGCTCTGCTCCCGGAGAGACCCGACAGCTCTGCTGGAGCAGAGACGCCATGCTCAGCTCTCCCGGGTAGACGCGATAGCTCTGCTCTCTGAGGCACACGCGATGAAGATGGATGTAGGCTAGAATCTTCCCGGTAAGCGCACCTTGGGGTGCTTACACACATCATTAGAAATGGGCTAGTCCAGGTGCGAGAATTAGCCTGTAAGGGCTAGAGTTCAGGGGCCAAGCAGTTCTTAAATGAATACAGTTTGTGTGTTGTTATTTCGGGCATGAGCTAGCCAAGCGGCCGGGGTGTTGGGGACGCAGCCCCGCCGCTTCCTATTACAACATCCATCCTGCTTGCTCTACCTCTGGCTGGGGACTCCTCCTTCTTCCCAAAGTTCTCTGTCCCCATAAAGCCCACTTAACCCCTTTCTGCCTAGCTGATGGCTATTCAGCTCTGCGTTAAACCAACCACAGTGACATATCTTCACATAGTGTAAAGGAATATTCCACAACCTTACTCCTCAGAGTAGGTGAATGGCTTATGTTGCAAAATGCATCCCAAAGAGTCTCACCCCTGAGACCAGGAGCAGCCAGCATCAAACACAGCAGTCTGGAGCAGAGAGCAACAGTGATTACTGAGTGGACAAAACTTTGCTTAGCCATTTGGCTATGCAGGTAATGACAAGGATGGGGTGGGGGCATGTAGAAGAAGTTTGGGTTAAGAGCATTCTTCTAATGGCTTCAGCCTAACTTAGATCTGTTAGGTCTGGTAGAGAGCTATGTTCAAGTTTTGAAGAGAACAAGCTAGCTTTCTCAACTTCTTCATTGCAGGAAATAGTTCACTATTTCCTGATTTGTCAGCCCTTGGCCATTTGGGAATATAATCAAATTCCGTGATTTGATTATATTACTTAAAAAAAAAAAAAGGTCAAAAGACAAAAAACCAAACCAAAAATACTGTGTGTGTGGGGGGGTCTTCCTTGGCAGGAAATGAAAGGTCATTGGTTCACCCTTTCTCTCCTTGCAGCGCGACATCTGTCACCACTGTCAGGGTAAGGAAGGCATGCACACTTTATAGAACCTTTGCAAGAACCAAATGAGATAAAATGGGCAAATACGATTAGAAGCCGCCATAAGCCAGTGTAGTTAAGATGGGAGAAAGAGAAGGAAGAAACAGCCCCTAGACAGAAGAACACGGGCAAGTTCTGGCTTTGCACAAAGCTCTGAGGAGATCTTGTGGTCTGTTCTTAAAGTCACCTTTTCCCCAACTTCAAGCCAGTAGAGACATTGTCTTTGTATAGTGCTGACAGGGAGAGCCAGGGGTAGGGGCGGGTAATAACAGTAAGAATTTTCTTTGAAAAGGACATGGGCCACGTTTTCCCAAAAGTTCAGCATTGTCCTTGGTCTGACAGCTGTTCTCCTTGAGGGTCCCTCTCTGTGGAGCTGGCTGAGCTAAGAGTGTTCCAGTCGCTGTAGCAAATGCCATTTTCAAAGCCAAACAAACCTTTGGAATCATCCGCATGAAGAATCATTCACTCTTAGTCTCCGTGGAGCCTTTTACTTCTAAAAAACATCTCCTGAGAGCATCAAAAAGGCAAAGGGAGGAATGGTTGTAGACTGAATAAAGACAATTGCAATTCCACCAGACATGTAAATATTATAACTATTATAGGCATATGTTGTGGAGACACATATGCACACACGCAGATGCATGCACACACACATACATGCAGGTGCACACACACAGACAGACACACACAGAGGCATAGACACAGTTTTAAAAATATAACCCAAAGGGAGGAGCTTGCGTCCAGTGTCTAATTTCTTCACCTCCTCTCTGCAGCAGGGGCAGAGCCAAGAGCCACACCCCCCCCCTCCCAGGCCATCAACGGCTTTTTCTTTCATTCCACCCTTTTAAGTGATTTCATTTGTTCTTTGTGTTGAGAAAAGAGAAAAAAGTAGCAAGAGAGTGAAGTGGGCAGCAGTGTCTTGGGCCTGCTTCACGTTCAAAGGAGGAGTACACAAGTCCAATCCTTCCTGAATATGAGCCTTGTTTTCTAGAATTCATGGCAGACACATGAGTGATTTATTGCTCTACACATCTCTTTGCAATAAAAATATCAGCGGCTCTTTTTTAGCTGTTGTAACCTCTGCCCCTGTGTTCTCTCTCTCTCTCTCTCTCTCTCTCTCTCTCTCTCTCTCTCTCTCTCTTTCTCTGTGAATTTACCTTCTTCTTTTTTTTTTTTAAACATAAGATTGACTCATAAACTTTCATCAAGTTAATAAGATGGGGGCAGTTCCTTTGCTGAAGAAAGATGCATTCATCCTGGTCTGGGGCGGGGAGGGGGTAAGAGCCACTGGGCAGAGACGGGTGGGTGGGACAAGTTGGGAAGCGGAGCAACTACACACAGCTGGCGCTGCTGAGAAAAGCGCTCTGTGGAGAGACGTGGAGGCCAGCTTGGCAGGGGCATGCCCCCTTGGTGAAAGGTCTCCTCTCCTAGGCAAGCCCCAACAGCCAATGGCCAAGGGCTGACAAATCTGTCATTACAACTCTAAGAGACGGAATTGATGACAGACGTAGTTCAAGAAGCCAAGCGTTGGCTCTAATACTCACTGGCGATGAGAATGCCTAAGCAAAACCAGGAATTCCTAGGCAGGGTTTTCCACTCTCTTTTCTTTCTCGCACACCCCACTCACTCCCTGGTTCCCACCTCTGGCTTGCCTTGGTCAATCTACTGCCAGACTCCCGCCTGTATCTTAGAGTCTTCCCAGCATACTCACAACTAGCGGCGTAACACCCTGTAGCCACGCTGGAAGGCAAATGTTGAAAGAAGTGTATTTGGAGAACTAATGTCTTGAGGGGTCAAGACTACAAGGAACAATGGAGTGAGCTTTCTGGTATCCTGTTTTTCTCAGAGCTTCTGCACATCTGTTAACACAGAGATGAAAGATTTGGAGTAAGGTAGAATATGGCTGGAGCTCAGACTTCCTGGTTCGAGGCTAATTTGACTTGTATTCCCTGTATGCCCAGGATACTGATGAAAGGATAAACGCCATTTCCAGTGCACCGGTGAAGCACCTGGATGTTACTCTCAGCCCCTGAATTCTGACTTTCCTTCCTTACTTATGATACCTGGTGAGCACTGAGTTCTTACTGCTGGGCAGCAGGAGAGCTAGGTGATGCCGGGCTGCGTGGAGGTGCATCGCGGTGCCCATCCTGTCCCTTGGCTCCATCGCCACAGCGGGACTTCCTCAAGCTAATGCTGCTGGACAACAACATCGCCTCTTTTACCAGTACTTTCTCTCTTCCTTTGTTTCCAGAAACTGAAATGTTAGCTACGGTTATTTTCGTTTGCTTCGTTTCGATATATCCTGTTGGAAGCATAGGTCACTCAGCTTCCTAATTTAAATATTTTTCTTTTTTTTTTCATTATGGATTCGTTTTTTTCTCTCTCCATTTTCTCATCTTTGGGTTGCTTAATTTTGTTAAGATCTTTTGATATTGGCTCAAACATCATTCAAATTCTAATCTATGTTTATTTTCTCAAATCCTATTGGATAGTTGCTTTATACTCAATTTTTTCACTCTCTGTCATCTTCAATTGGCTTTTAAGACTCACTAGCAAATTCTTTTAATTAAATTTTTTTTTATAATTTTATTTTTTAAAAATTCATTAGATATTTTTGTGCAGAAAACACTGTTTTCATGTCCTTCATCAGCTCTGGTCATTACTATATTTTTAAAATTTTATATGAATTTTTTTTTTGGCCAGGTGGTGGTACATGGAGGCAGAGGTAGTGGGTCTTTGAATTTGAGGCCAGCCTGGTCTACAAAGTGAGTTCCATGACAGCCAGGACTACACAGAGAAACCCTGCCTCAAAAACAAAAAACAAAAAAAATCTTTTAGTTCTTTGAGAATTTCATACAATGCATTTTGATCATATTCATTCCCTTCTCCCCCCATAGTCACCCGCCTTCTTTACCCACCCAACTTTGTGCCATGAAACATCACCACAAAGGCAACTTATAGAAGGAAGTGTTCATTTGGGGCTTTTAGTTCAAGATGAATAAGAATCCATTTTTATCACATGGCAAGCAGGGCAGCAGAGGAAGCCTTGGTGACTGATACTGGAAGCCAAGAGATGGAGGCTCACATCTCAAGCTACAGAAAGGAAGCAGAGAGAGTGGGCTCAAAATGACAAGGGTCTTTAAACACTCAAGGCCCACTTCTAGTAAAACACTTTCTCCAGCAAGGCTATGTCTCCTGAGATCTCTCAATGACACCAAGTAGTCAACCACCACAACTCGTAGCATCCAGTGAGATAGAAGTAGTAACTAAAAATCTCCTCACTAAAAAAACCTCAGAGTTACATGGATTGAGCACATAATGCTATTATATCTTTAAAGAGAAACTAACAACTATATAACAACTATAGTCCTCAGATTAGTCCACGAGATAGAAGAGAACACTTCCAAATTATTTTCATGAAATCAGGATTACCTTGAAAGCTAAGCCAGACAGAAATCCAAGCACAGAAAAGAAAATCATAAACCAGTATTGCTAATGAACATAGACATAAAAGAATTCTTAACAAAATACTTGCAAATTGAATTCAAGACTATATCAGAAAGATTATCCACCGTAATGGAGTTGGCTTTATAACAGAAGTAGAAGAATGGCTCAGCATATGTAAATCAGGAAATGTAATCTAACACATAAACAGATTCAAAGACAGAAACCTCATTGCATGAGAAAAAGCCTTTGACACAATCTCATGGCTCTTTGAAAATCACCTTTAAAATATTTTTTGAACAATCCTAGACTTAGAGAACAGCTCTAGAGATAGCATGGAGTTTCCTCTACGTTCTCATGGTCAACTCATCTCTTCATCGTTAATCTCCTTCTTTCTCTTTTTCTGAGTGTGCACATAGCTTAGTCCTGGGCTCAATCCTAATACAGAAAAGTGCCTAATAGAGTGATATCAATACAGTTCAGACTGTATTTGGATTTTAATAGTTTCTCTATTTTGATCTCTTTCTAATCCAAACCCAGTTCATGGAACTGCTTGATATTTGGTTGTCACACCTATTTAGCCTTTCTGGTTTGTTCTCAGTTTTTGTTCCTCCTCGTGTTTGTCCTCCTCATCCTCTTCCTCCTCCTCCTCATCCTCTTCCTCCTCGTCCTTGTCCTCCTCCTCCTAATCCTCTTCCTCCTCCTTCTTGTCCTCCTCCTCATCTTCCTTGTCCTTCTCCCCCTCCTTGTGCTCCTCCTCTTCCTGGTTTTGCAGAGACTGAGCAGGAACCTCGTAGAATACCCCGATTTGGATTTGCCAGATGACTTTCTTGTACTTAGAATGGCCTTGGTGTTTGCTGAAAAGAATACAGATAAAAAAGGGCCTCTAGCCATACCACGCACAGATCACCCATGCTGCACTGCTGCGTACCGACATCCATTCCTTGGCGTTTCTCCGCGGGCGGAGTACATTATGTTTGGTCATTTCTAGTCTATTCTTTGAAAGCGAGTCATTAAATATGCTACCTTTCTAGTGTGGGGAGGATTGGACTCTATTTTTTGAATGGATAATCTACATATACTGACTGGACTGTCTCCTTAAAGGATGATTTACCTCATCTCCCATGAACATTTATTTAGTCATTTATTTATATCAGTTGGAATCGTGGGTGTTTATTTTAAAATTTAAGTTATAATTTGATATTACATTATTTTGTTGCTAAATCCTGATGTGGCTGTGAAGAGTCTATTTTATTAATACGAATTTATTTATATTTGTATCTAAAATTAATTAGTATTCAAAACAAGGACTAGCTAATGGTTAATACACACCTTTAAAATGTTCAAAATCCTTATTGACCAAGGAAATGCAAATTGAAATTACTCAAGATTCAATCTCATATCTGCCAGGATGATATACATAGATAACTCAAAGGAGACTAGATGCTGGTGAGATTATGGGCAAAGGAGGGCAACTCCTTTTCACTGTTGGTGAACTGTAAACTGGATGGAAATCAGCGTGGAGGTCCCTCAAATATAATAGGAATATTAGTAGAACTACCACATGAACCGGGTGGTGGTGGCACACGCCTTTTATCCTAGCACTTGGAGGCACAGGCAGGCAGATCTCTATGAGTCTGAGGTCTTCCTGGTCTACAGAGCTAGTTCCAGGACAGGCTCCAAAGCTACAGAGAAACCCTGTCTTGAAAAAACAAACAGAAAAAAACAACAACAACAACAAAGAAACCCCAAAACAAAACAAAACAAAAAAAAGAACTACTATATGAGCCATCTATACCCCCAGAGGAATGTGAAATCTAGAGTTTCTTGAATCAACTCAATTCTCAGAGCTCGCCATGAGCAAGATTAGTAGTACCACAGAGGTCTTCAGCTGTCATAGGAACATTTAGGGAGGGGGAGTAAAAAGATTTACATATACATATACTTCCTCTGTTTCCTAGTATTTCTTTCCTCATGACCATCCCCTCCTGTTCCCATTAAAGTTGAGGCTAAAATTCAGCCAGAAAAAAAAA